CACACACACACACACACACACACACACACACACACACACACACACACACACTCACTCACACACATTTAAGCGCCAGGACAAGAACAAGACGAACACAATCAACAAGAACAACAAGAACAACAAGAACAACAACAAGAACAACAACAAGAATGGCAATGACGATCATTATGATTAGAAAAATAACGACAGTTAAGTTGTAACACAAAAGTAACAATGATTGTATAGTAATATTGAAAACAATAACAAATATTATAATGACAACTACCATGCACTCTTAAGTCTAACATAGAAGGTTCATCTTACCCGCAACGTGTAAGCCTTGACCATCCTGCTAGTGTATATTTCCGTCGACTCTTGACACAGCCGCCACTCTGAAATGACAGTATGGGATTGGAGGAAGTCACTGTGAGTGAGTCGAAACTGCTTCAGGGAGCGCGAAACTGAAATAAAATTATGGTGATTAGGAAAGACGATTCAAAATTTTGATTAGACTTAGATTCTATATTCCTTACTTTTTTGTTTTTGTTGGAAATTATAGTATGTTTGCTTAACGTTACCATTTACATGAAATTAAATAGACGCTGAACTATAATTATGAATAGACAAATCCGAATTATCATTGAACGTTGCTTTACGCCATCATTTAGACAAAACTTGACAAAGATGTCACGTTTTGGGGAGACAGCTACGTGTAACCTCAATATAAAGAAGATTACGTTGTGATAGGCAGTACTTACGTGAGTCTCTCTCTCTCTCTCTCTCTCTCTCTCTCTCTCTCTCTCTCTCTCTCTCTCTCTCTCTCCCTTCTCTCTCCCCTCTACCTAGATTACCACAAGGTAAAATGTAGCGGACAACTATTATTATGTCCAATCAGCAGCGTGCCAATTACAATGTTGTAGTACATTTTGAACTGTTATACAAGAATTAAAAACATGAATTATCATATCATTTGATAGAACATTAATTGTTGCCTTCTTTTTGAAAATGGTAAGTTTTGGGCAAAGAAAACGAAACTGACAAATCTAAAAATCTGTAAGAATAACATGATGTTATAATGTTTTACCCAGTGCCCTGAAACAGCGCATTTTCAAACAGCGCATAGCGCATTTTCAAACAGCGCAGTAGAATGTCTGTCCTCACCGAGTTAAATAATTTTTTTTCCTTGCACGACGCGGTGGAATTAGACTCTCGTTAATCTTTAACATAATAATATAGAATTATTAGAATACTCTTATAGCGAGTTCGTTTGCCTCGCTTCTGACCAAAATAAAATTACCCATCTATCTTTAATAGAAGTCAAAATAATTATTTGCAGTTTTTAGAGGTGGAGATCGCTTGTTTTCAAAGATAGAATAAGCGAGAAAATGGCAGCCAAAGTTTGGTGACTTCCGAACCTGAAATGTCCTTGAAAACTGCACATTTACATTTTGTTGTGCTTTTGATCAATCTTTAAAGTAAAAATTAGACTAGACTGTGTTGCTGAATTGAGTTAGAAGGTGTTGAGCCCAAAACAAGCTAACAAACAAACAAACAATAGTTTAAAAACTGCCTTAGGGGTGGAAAAATACCTATTTCTTAGATTTTGACGAGCCCCTCATTTCACTGCAATGCAACGCATTCCTTAATGTAGTTTGTGCAGCCTGAAGTACTCTTCCGACTTGCCCAGACCACAGCTGCTTCAGTGACCAAACTTATAGTCATTTGCAACATCAATAACCTCGTCATTAGTTTTAATTAAGTTCAATCTAATACGTTCCCTGGTCATGTCCCTATTAAAATAATTTTTAATGTATGTAAAACGTGGTCCATAAGAGCAGTCATCAAAAGAAGAATACAAACACTGGGTCTGCAAAGTTCTCGTCATCTAATTTTTTAAATATTTCTTAGCAACACAATAAGGTCATTTAAGTGCAGAAGATTTGAGGTGTTACAAGAGAATAACAAATACAAATAGGAAGACAACTAAGGACAATAATTGTTTTATAGAAAAGATGAAGCAAACCACACCAGAGCACCCACCAGCCACCCACGGTTGTCTTGTATAGAGATCGCATGACCAATGAAGTAGTGAGAACAAGATCTGGAAGTACTATCAGACCCATTTGAAGTCCTCCTGGGTTCGGCGAAAAGACGCGCACGAATGACGTGCGGGCACAGCAGACGATAATCTAGAAGGGCCAGTACAATTCTACGGGATAAAGCACAAGGAAGGAGACAAACAGACAGACAGAGGAAGCAATGGGTAGACAACATCAAAGAGTAGCCTGGTTGGGAAAACAAATTAATGTGATGATTGTTACAACTAAGCATGCACAAAATCTAATAGTTGATAACAATAACTAAGAGTAAGAGTGTAACAACTTTCTGAAAAAAGAGGAGGATAAACAAAAGGGTTTCCTCCTGCTTTTCCGAACACATAAACACTTGGGTACAGTTCAGTCTTGTAAAGAAGCCATTAAATAGGTATAACCTCTCGTAAAACACAACAATGTGTTGGTTGTTACAACTAGCCATGCACAAAAGCTATAAGATTACATAAAACTATTACTGAGAATGTAACGACCGACCCCACAAGTTACCCAAAAATGAGGGTTGCAAAGAAGTAAAGACTTTTAAAGGTTTTTCAAACACTTGGACAGAGTTTAGTCTTGTAAAAAAGCCATTAAAAAGGTATCATCATAATCATCCAGTGCCAGATCTGCGACAGACATCGGCGATCATGGTTCTCCGTTCATTCTTTTGCTCGGATGCTCTAAAAAAAAAAAAAAGCTACGTTTCCCTGATCTTTCACTGTTACCCATTAATTTGTTTAGGGTTCCCTAAGTAGGTTGTTCTGGGCCTACCTCTGCCTCGTTTGCCTTCAATTTTGCCAATGAGAGCTAGATGTTCATGACCCTTATGTCTATTCAGGTGTCCCAAAAACTGTATTTAATTTGTCGTTTCCTGATTGTTTTTAGCATTGAGCGTCCCACGTGGGCTTCATCAAGCACTACTTCATTTGATTTCTGTTCCTTCCACGATACTCTTAGCAGTCTCCTAAGAATCAATTTTTCTGCGGCTTCTATTTTATTTTTACTGTCTTTAGTGATTGTCCAGCATTCACAGCCATTTAGAAGGGTTGACCATATATACCATTTGAAAACTTTCATTTTGGTGGTCATTGACACGTTTCTATTTTTCAGGATTGGCTTTTATTGAAAGTAACCTTAGCCATTGCAATTCTCCGTTTTATTTCTATGAAACATTTGGCATCAGATGTAATCATAATATCCTAGATCGTTAAACTGTTGGACTTGCTTGATCTTTTCCCCTTTGCTAATGAGATTACAACTAGGATTTGTAGATTTTTTTTCATATTACAATGCAGGTAGCACCTGTGGTAAAACACAATAATGTGTTGGTTCTTGCAACTAGGGATGCACGACAACAAAGAGATCATAACCATATCTGAGAGTGTAACGACCGAGCACACAATTGCTGAAAAAAAGAGTAGGATAAACAAAAAAAGTTTATTCCAGCTTTTCCATTACTGATAGTGTAACAACCGACCACACAAGCTACTCAAAAATGAAGAGCACCAAGAAGTAAAGATTCATCCAGATCCCTTGGTGGTCTTAAATATTATATTAAGATGAGGCTTCGCCCGCCACCCTGGCAAAATTCAAAATTTCCGACCAACTGAAAATGTTTAATGTGTCCCGCGCGCTCATGTGACCCAATACAGTTGTGAGCGCCGTATGACACTTACAACAAATAAAACCACACTTACACACAAACACACACAAATACACACACAGACACATACATACTGTCTTCCTCCCCCCCTCTCTATCTTTCTCTCTTTCTGTCCCCCCCCTCTCTCT